CTGCTACTCATTGTAGCATGGGAGACACATTCCCTTTGCCAGCGAGAACTGGCTTATTAATTCACTAACTAGCTGCGTGGACTTGCTAAGATCCTTAACCTCTCTGGGCCTGATTTGCCTCATCTTCAAAATGGGGGAAATACCTCCCCAAAGGCTTTCCATCCAGTGCCAAAGAAATAACATCTATAAGAGAGCTTTGTAAACTTCAAAGTTCTGTATTAATGAAAAGCATTGTATTTATTTCCCAGGATCTGGGCACATGCCTTCTCCATTATCTGGGGAGAAAGGTATGTTGTGTTGATGATATATCCTGGGAGATTCTCGAGAAAATGTGGGAGAGCTGGCAAAGCCTCACCTGCACAGACCCTCTGTCTTGAGCTAGAGGAGGTGGGAGCCAGATTCAGACCTGGGACCCAGAGCCAGGGATACCAGATGTTGTCCAGATGCTTAAGCTCCAGACCATTTCATGCTGGAGAGTCCAAACCCATTGTTCCCTCTGAACAAGGCCCCTCAACTGAGGACTAGCTGGAAGCTATAAGACTGGGGGATTGGGGTGAGGAGGGGGGCAAGGATAACCAAACTCCTTTGCACTGGCCATCAGGGTTTGAGAAAATCTGGGGAGGGTGATGAAGGGCAAATAGACTCCCCTTTTTCCTGTTGGAATTGGACCCACAGAGCCGCTTTCCTGCCTGTTTCTTCCATGGGGTTGTAGGGAAGGAAGAGAATGAACGTTTATGGACTGTCCACATGCCTAGGTATTTACATAGATTATCTCCTATGTAGGTATTATCCCCATTCTCTTGATGGAGGAGCTGAGGCCCAGAGAGGTGAAGTCCCTTGCCTGATGTCAGATATCTAGTAAGTAATGCCATGATTTAAACCTGAGTCTCCCAGGTCCCACAGTTTTTCTACTGTGCTGTGATGAGCTGGGGGCAAGGGGAACACAGCAGGAGAGGCAGGGGTCAGCCCCCATCACACAAAGCATGAAGGACAGAGCACTCAGGTGAGGGATGACAGAGAGAGTCAACACCCTGGACAGTTTCTGGGGCAAGGAAGAAACCTCCTATTCACTGAGCTCACCCTCACCTCCAAAGGTATTCCTGGGGTCTGCCCTCAGATTTCTTGAATCATCTCAGTATCCAAGGCCAAGTGTGAGGAATTGAGTTCCCCAGCAATGGACACACAAATTTTATCCACAGCTGAGTGGTGGGTAATTATGGAACTCTGAGGGACTCGTTCTATCTCCCCTCCTAAAGACAACCTCCACCTATGTGCACAGCTACTGTTCTTTGGAGATGCTCCTCTCTGGGACCCACCTCCAGAGTAGTGTATGAGTCTCTTGAGAATCCTATCTCCCCTCCTAAAGACAAGCTCCACCTATGTGCACAGCTAATGTTCTTTGGAGATGCTCCTCTCTGGGACCCACCTCCAGAGTAGTGTATGAGTCTCTTGAGAAAATGGTTCTCATTGCTTCAGACTCCTGCTTGTTTTCTTGCCTACCCTATTCACAAGACTTAGCTCAGTTGATATATGAATCCCCACCATCATGTAATAAATTCAGACAGCAATTTTCCAAGAGGAGCCAGAATCATTCTGCCTAATGGCAGCTTGCTAGAATAAGGGCATGGCTTCCCACAGGACCACCATAAATGGCTATTGTACTGAGCTAAAAAAATGACCAGTGCTAAGATATTACAGCTGGGCTCCTGGGTGAGGCAGGCTGACAATAGACAATTTCTGTCCCATCTCCAAGAAAGTAGCATCTGTTTACAGAGGCAGAAGGGCAAGCTGCCCCGCAGCATTGCCCACTGATCTCATACTAGCCCCCCATACAGGTAACTTAAGTGTGTGTGAATCTGCCTCCCCTGCCAGACTGTGGGCTCTTGCAAGTGGGGCTGGTCTGTGTGATTTATCCAAGCAGTTCTGGTGAAAGGACTTAGTCAGAACCCTGAACCCTTCAGGTCCTGGCACCAACTTTGTGGGGCCACAGGATGGAGGGCCTTGAGCCCCAGAGGGATTTCCTGCCAGAGTTGGAACAGAAGACATTGGATTTTCATCTTCTCAAATAAGGGGAATTCATGCTTTGATGATCATGGCCATGGATAACCACTTGTATTACCTGGGGACTCAGGGTTCCAGCTGCTGGGAAACAAAGCATCTCACATAGCTCTAGAAAAAAGGATGATGGATTTTCAGAGCCAATGTGAGAGACATGGTTCTGCTGTCCTTTTAGCTGTCAGTTATTCATGGTAAATATTCCTTTGGGTCTAGACTGAGAGGAGAGGCAGATGGGGTAGCTGAGCTTTTGCTTCCACCTAGCAGCAATTTTTCTCTCTTTTGGAAATGAAAATAAAAACCAAAATACCAGCTGTTTCTGACTGAACTAATGAATAGGAGGAAAGCAGCCCTATCTCTTTACCAATAGCAATTTTCAAGTGACACGATTTCTGATGGTGGTGTGTGTGTGGAGATTCTAGTTCTTTTACATTTACATAATTATTAATTCCTGGAAAAGATTTGACCTATTCATCTCTTTTTTATTATTTTTTTCCAATAAAATCTTGTGTCTGTGTGTGTTCTGTCCTCTCTAGCTAAGTTCTAGTAGAGACAGTATACAGAGAAAAATTAGAAATCTAACCCAATGACATATCATATGCAAAAGAGTTGGGCTATAAAATGTAAAAAGGAGAGTCTTATGAGACCAAGTCCTTTCTGAGACCATGATGGTATGGGAAGGAATCCCCTGAGGAGCTCTGTTCTAAGTTTATTCAATACTAGGGCTGGCCTGTTAGCTCAGTTGGTTAGAGTGTGGTGCTAATAACACCAAGGTCATGGGTTTGAATCTCCACACCAGCCAGCTGCCAAAAAAAAAAATTTCCTAACTCTGTTTATTTAATGCTATATAAATCATGATCCATGCTCCTAGGTAAAGATGTTCACCTCTGTCAGGAATAATATTGCTGTTTGTTATCTTAACAGTAACTGTGCTGGAGGAAGGGGGTAGACATTCCCAGTACATCTGAGATTTCCATTTATAGGCAAGGAGAAGTTACCTATCATCTGGGCATCCAGCTGCCAGTGCTTTGGTTTCTGGAGGGCCAACATCTTGCCAGAAAGAGCTGGTCGAGTGCTAACATCCAATTTAGTTCACCTAGATTTATGTGGATGCCTGGTTTCCAAATACCAACTCATCTTGAATGTACAATCTACAGATATCAACAGTGGTGTTTTCATTATCAAATGTCAAAGTGACTAAGAAAGAAAGGACAAGAGAGTTTTATGGGGCCTGGAGCTACTGTAATAAGATTTAGAGAGAAAATTAAAGGCCCCAGAGTCCAGAAAAATGCATTATCCTGGGCACATGCAGAGACATTTCCAGGAGAGAGTGTGACTGCTATGGTTCTCTGTCCCCTCTGAGGCAGCAACCTCCCCCTGCTACCCTCTCTACCTCAGCAGCCAGCCTGCACTGTGTACACCAACCCCATATCCCACTTTGTCTGACTTGGGATTCCGGTCTTGGCCTGTAGTTCTACTTGATAGAGAAACACAGCAGAAGCTTCCTGCCCCTGCCCTGTGCCCATCGGGGCTGGTGCAGACCCTCGCAGTGCCCGATATTACTTGGGCAGGTTTCATGACATGAATGCCTCCCTCAACGATGCCTCTGCAACAGGGCCCTGCCATTTCACATCAGCCTGACAGAGAGGCACAGATGGGGTTAGCCTCCAAGTGAACAGGCCAGCTCACACTATTCAGAGTTGACAGGAAAATAAATGTTTGGAAAAGGCCAAAACCCACAGCAAACTCAGCAGCAAACCGGCACAGCTCCCAGTCCTGTCCTACCTTCCGGATGGTTGGGAATTTGCCATCGTAGCGATAAAACCATCCGAAGGCTACAAGAACACAGAGACCAGAATGATAAGACACAGTTCAGTCTGGCTAGAGCATCTGTGGACAGGAGCTGGGAACTGGGTTCCCAAGAAACACGTGGCTTTGTGAGACGTAGAAGGGTGCTGGCAGATCCAACAGCAAAACTGCACCCCATCTGCTCTCCGCTTACCTGGCCTCACTGGGGTTGCAAAGCAGGCCCAAGACCACCTGAGAAAAGCCCCAATTCCCAGGCTCTGGGTCACTCTCAAATGCCTCTCCCCAGGACACTGGCTTCAGAAGTCAGTGCCAGAAAATCAAAGAGAACACCCTGTGGAAGGATAAGCCTTTCCAAATCACAGATACGGTCTCTAAACACAAAGTCCTGTTGAAAGAGAATGAGGTCTCTCCTAACCAGTGCCTGGTCCCTCCGTCCAAGAAATGGCTCAGGACAAAAGAGAGCTTGGGTCTTTGCCTAGAACTGTTGTCAGACAGAACAAAACTGTCTTGTCTCATAGTGTAGGCCAAGTCCTCCGCTTTCAACATGGAAACAGAAGGCAGTGGCTGGGTCAGCTCTGGAAAGGACAGCTCTGGCAGCAGTGGGCAGATGTACCCACAGAAAAGTGTATCCCTTTCCAGGCCACATAACCAGGCACCAGCCCCCTTCCTTCCCCAGCCAACAGCATAACAGGGTAATACCCCAAATCTGAAGCTCCCTGGGGCGAGGGGCAATGCCTTAATTAATTGCCTAACTTTGACCAGCCTCAGTGCTGGAATGGGCAGTTGAAAGCCCCCTGCTGGTCCAGGCACTACCCCCTTAGCTGCTGGATCTGGGAGTGGTCTAGGGAGTCCCCGGGGAAAGGACAGGGGAGCAGGGGAGGACTTGAGCCTGGGCAGTATTTAAATATTTGAACCAGTGGTTCAGTTGTATTGGTGTGCACCAACTGATTTTTCAGCCTGGCCATGAGTCCTGTCCTCAGGTTTTACGTACAGTGCTTGGGCCAAGCTGGGGCTTGGAGGAGCTTTGCAGACCCCATACGTGTTTCCCCTCAGAGCTGGTTGTCTGCCCCGCTGTCAGGAGCAGTGGGCAGGGTGAGCAGAGCAGCAAGGCCAGGGAGCGAAGCGGGGGTGCCAACCTGCTTTCCCTGCTCCTCCATGCCTCCATCCAGGTCATCTGTGGGTTCGAGCTCAGGCTCAGGCTCCACTCCCTGTTTATCTACCCAAAGAAAGGAGGAAGCTGATGAACCAAGAGGGACTCAGAAGTTTGAGAGGCCAGAGGTGCTTCTCAGTAGCCTGAGGATCTGTGACCAGCTTCCTCCAGGGAAACTGTGAAGTCAGGGGCAGGGACAGGTAGCCCAGAGCAAAAGTCTCTTGCTCTGATCTGACAGCAGCATGAGAACATTTTGAAGGGTGTTGGGTTGGAAGTTGGGAGGTTCAGTGAGAAGAACAGGCATATCTGAGTAGCATATACATCTGAGGGCAAGGGTTTGTAATGGGAGACCAGCTCCTCCTGCCTTCTTCTTACCACCCTTGCCTTGGAGTTTTGGGTCCCCTGGGAATGTCTAAGCAGTGTTGGCAGCAGATGGGGCTAACGGTCCTGAGGAGGTGGGAGATCCCCAAGGGTAAGTAGGACACATGTGGTGAGGAAGACATGAATTTTAACTTAATGTGGAGAGAATAGCACACTGTCTACTCCAGTTCTTTCCAACTTGGACTCATGCCTCCCCAGGACCTTGAAATATAGGTACAAGTCTGCTTGCGAGTGGCTTTTTAATATTTCAAAAGCTTAAAAGAATATAGCACACTGTCTACTCCAGTTCTTTCCAACTTGGACTCATGCCTCCCCAGGACCTTGAAAGATAGGTACAAGTCTGCTTGCGAGTGGCTTTTTAATATTTCAAAAGCTTAAAAGAACTTGGCTATTGACCTATGAAAAGGTGTATATTAAGTTCCTTTGCTTTTGGCTTGAATTACATTTACTTGACAGTGGAGCACTAATGTTCCCTTGCTAACAAGGACTACTTAATAAAACAACGGGAACACAAAATGATTATTTAATAGTTTGGTAGGAAAAAAACCTCAACTTCCAAATCACAGGGTTGATTGTGGTGGAGGGAGGTAATTGATGGAGTCCTCGCTAGGGAGAGAAGGCTAGAGACCTCTTGTTTAAACCTCTTCATCTCTTAAGACCCCTCCAGTTTCAGAATCCTTAATGAAGATCCCTTCACCCTTCCCTTCACTGCTTAGCTAGGGAAAGGTCTTTTAGGAGCCTCTAGGAAGGTGTGTCATGGCCTTGAGGGCTCGGCAGAATATTGGGATTCTGCAGGGTTGGCCATGGGTAGGTGGGCACAAGCAATTGTAAGAATCCCCTGGGGCAGGTGGGGGGAGCAATCAGTCCCACTTGCATCATTAGGAAAATGGCTTCATTTTCCAAGTAAGAGATGCTCCACACTCTTTCCTGTTTGTTCATCCACCCCTTGCAGACACAGAAAACTGAGTCACGTATTAACCTGCTGGCTAACCAGGTTGCAGTTGTAGGGTACGTCAGGGAGGAGCTGGTTGTGCTGGCCCAACATGGCCAAGACCGTTCCAGCCTCCTGGGAATGGGGAGTGAGGCAGGAGAGAGCTGGCTCAGGGACCTTATTGCATTTCCTGACTTGTCTCCAAATTAGAATTAAATTGTCGGTGCCTATGGAGATGGATGGTGGTGGCAGCTGCCCCGGCTTGGCCAGCAGACTCAGGCTAGCAAGGCTGTGCTTTGTGGTGTTGCACTAGAATCCATTTATCTTGAGCAAAGGCAAATTCTTGCTCCTTTTAGTCTAGAAGCTTGATTTGGTTACAAAGCACTAAATAAATAGCTAGCTAGAAAAAGTTTCATTTCTAGGAAGGTACTAAATTGACTAGGATGACTTTCATGAGAAGCAATTAAAATCGATTTCTCTCCTTTTAAGCCTCCTATTTCACTCAAAAGAGTAAATTAGCTGCCCATCTAAAACATGGATTATTCACTGGGAATTTAGCTCTGGCCACATCCTCAGCTAACACCGAATGTCATGGGGAAGAGAGCTGATGAGAGCACGCTTTGTCTTTCCAAGAGGACTTGAGATGACACTGTGCCTTGCTGCTAGGAAGGAATGTGCTGGGAGCTGTCTGCCCTGCACCAGGGAGAGGAGAAATGGAACCATCCAAATACCCTGCACCTCTTCCTTGATCCAAGTGGCCTGTGTTGGCAAGTCAATGTCCCTCTAGGGCTTGGATATGTTACAAAGTTGGGGACAGAGCTGTCCAGACCCCAGAACAATATCCCAAATGGCTGCCACACAGCAGAGTTGGGGAAACTTTGTTCTTGGGTCCAGATTCAACCGCTTTCTGGAGGTTCCCAGGTCAGCTGAGCACAATCAGCTGGAGTAAATCTGTCCATGTCAATTATAAACCAGAACAGCTATAAATGGGAGTAGAGACCCAACCAGAGAAATACTGAGATTGATACTCTCATCTTGCCCTGGAAGTGTGGGCTGCCTGATGAAGAGCCATCATTCTCTTGGGGTTGAGAGTAGGTGGACAGGAGAGTAGTTGGTAGAGGCCTGGACTGAAATTGGAGGTGAGAATACAGGGTAGGTGGAGAGAGGAGATGGTAAGGGTGGTAGGAGCTGAGGCCCCAGGATAGCACAGCCCCCAGACTGCAGTTTAGTGCCTGGAAAGGGCCTCCCTCCATCCTTGGAGTGGCATGACAGTGGTCCACGCACAGGAATGCAGGTGATAGGGACACTTTGGGGAAGCTCCTCCCAGTTTCCCATCAACTTTAGACCACCAGAGCCCTTCTTTGATGTGAGTTCTTTCCTTTCTTCACTGCTGTTAGCTTCACCCCAGCCCCAGCTCAGAACCAAGCAGAAAGAGGACATGACACCCAACTAACTAAGATGGTAATCTCGTGAGCTAGTTCCACTTGCCATAGCTCTCCATCTCCCTTCAGCAGCCGAGTGGCATGAGGAGGGTCCACCTGCCTGAGTCTGCATTGTTGGGGAGAGCCTGGGAGCTGGGTGTGTGTAGCAGGTCCCCAGATAAGGATAGAAGACAGATTCCACCCACGCTGATGGGCACATGGCCCCTGACATATGGCTGTCCCCCATGAAGACAATGCAGCCCAGAAAACCATGGGCTATGCTTCCACCAGGGAGGTGGTGGTGAGTGGAGGGAGATCAGCAGTTCTGTCTAGTCCCCTTAACCCCGAGGCCTAGAAAGGAGCCCCCTCCCCTGGGCCCACGATACATACACTTTGGCTTGCGAAGTGGTACAGGGTGCACCTCAGCTGTGATGGTTTTAGGCAAGAGCAGCTGTTCCTTTGAGCCCCAGTCTTCTTCCCACTGCTTCTTAAACTTCTCTTCCTCTTCCACGATCCTGAGAGGAGACCCCCATGCCTGTAACTGGAGTCAGAACCTCCGCAGGCCCACCTCCTGCCTACCAGAGAACCTCAGCCAGCCTTGGGAGAAGCCTCACGGTTCTAGCTGTGGAGAATGAAACAAAGTTCCTGGAACTTGTATTTTAAACTAAAGTGTGAACATCACCTCAGCAACTACATGAGACTATGTTCTAGTTAAGCTAGTAGATGGCTTTACTAGGATTATGGAATGACTACAAGTAAGGAAGGATCCACCAGGGAAGGGAGGGTCAGGTAAAGTGGGTCTGGAGGTGGCCCATGGCTGGCCACAGTTCCGCGTGTACTATCATGTCCACACACAGACAAGTGTGTGCAGACACACATGGACCCCAGGTACTCACTGTTCCATCTCCTTCCGATATCTCTCGTTTTCCTCTGCAGCCTTCTGGGCAATTTCCTTTCTCCTTCTGAAATACAAATGCAGATTGGCATGTTTGAGTCTATGCAAGAAAAGTTAACTCTTCTTTGTGGCTAATTCCTGATTTGAGAAAAGTTTTAAATGTGTTTTCAAGGCTTCCTTCTAAGGATGGCTGGACCAGCTTTGAGTTCGGGGAAGTTTATTCAACAAAGTCTGGGCCCCATGCTCCTGTGCAGTTTCATCTGGCACTGCTGAGCAGAGACTCTGAGCTGCAGGAGCCAGGAGGCAGGTCCACACGAGGGTCACGCTCCACGCATCCACCTCCAAACACTTAGGTAAAGTGGCTGACCACAGGCAGGGTCCTGGCTGGATGAGGGTCCTCCTGGAGGGCCTCATCCCCCAGTGACTGCTAACCAGTTGTGTTCTCCAGGCTAATTCTGTGATGGGGCAGATGGGCAGATCCTTTCCTCTTTCCTTTTCCAAATACTTGTTAAGTGCCTTAGAATGTATCTGAATTTGGATTTTTTTTTTCCTTTTTGTCTTTTTTTGTGACCGGTAACAGGATCGCAACCCTCAGTGTCGTGCCCGTACCGCGACCGGCAACGGGATCGCAACCCTCGGTGTCGCGCCCGCACCGTGCTCAACAAGTGAGCAGACCGGTCTGTATATGGGATCCGAACCCTCGGCGGGAGCGCCACCACGCTCCCAAGCGCCGCACTCTACCGAGTGCGCTACCGGGCCGGCCCTGAATTTGGATTTTGATAGTAATTTTTTTTAATTTATGAATTGCTCATTCCATTTGTTCTCTCAGTCCCTCATTTTAACCACCCCTGGAGGGAGGAGGGCTTGTCACCATAGGTGGGCAGCCCTGTGGGGATTGCCAGGCTCTTAAAGCAGCTTGGCCTTGGGTGACTTTGGACACAAGTGGTTTAACCTTTTTGAGTCTCAGCCTCCCCTCCTGTAAAATGGGGTTAATACCATCTACCTCCCAGGACTATTGTGGGGATTAAATTAAGTAACATAAACAGGCCCTGATATAGCGCCAGTCATATGGTAGGTACTTGACAAATGTTAGCTATTGCTAGTAGGACCCTCACTTTCCATATTCCTGGAATCTTGGAAGCCAGGGGCTCTCCTCAGCAAGGAGGAAGGGGCCAGGTGGTCAGAGGCAGAGGACATACACACTGACCTGTCCCTGAACCACCTGGTCTGAGGGCAGGCCTTGGGGGGAGGGTAGGTCAGCTCAGGATGCAGTGGGCAGGAAGCAAGGTGGGCGGGCTGTACGGTGGTCTGGGGGGGGCACCCTGGGCTGGCCACACTCACTGCCGCTCCATCTCCTGCTGCTCCTGGAGGATCTTGTTGGACTCCATGGCCAGGCGCTTCTGCATCAGAAGCTCCTGTCGCTGCAGCTCACGCTGCCGCACCTCGGCCAGCCGCTCCCGGTCTGTCATGAACAGCTCTCGGCCCTGGTGGGGAGAAAAGAGCCTCTTCACTCAACCCCCTGGGGAACCCGGGCATCCTCTGCCACAGACTTGGGGGCCAAGGTCCAGGGTGTCTTCTCAGCGCCGTGCCCCCAGAGTCAGGCACTGCAGCTCCTGTGGTCTCTGACCCAAACTTCTCCTTGCTGGGCTTAAGTCCCCTCCCTCTGCTCTGTCAGAGCTTCAGGGAAGGAGACCTCTTGGCTCTTCTTGGGAGTGGGGAGTGTGTGGCAAAGATCAGGAGTCAGAGGGGCTGGGCTGGAGGTCAGGGGTCATGGGACCCCCACTAGCTCATTCTGGACTTACAGCTCCAGCTACAATGGAGATGGTCAGGCTGCGGCTACTCTTCAGCACGTTCACGGCCTGTGGGGACAGGAGGACAGTCAGCTGAGGACTGACAGACCAGAACAGTCCAGAGAGAGAGTGCAGAAGATCTCAGACACCATGGTGGTGGGGGTGAGAAGTAGCGGGGGGAGATGACAAGATAAGGGCTGTCAGGTGAAGACCCCCAATCTCACCTCCTTGTGGTCCAGGTTGGAGAAGTCGATGCCATTGACTTCAACAATCTGGTCTCCTGTCTGGTGGAGAAAAAGAGAAGAATTAGTGTGTGTGCACTATCCACACACTCACTCATCTACAGGAAGGGCTCCCCCAGGGTGCCAGGGTCAGACATTGGGTCTTCAAGTGGCTGCACGTCAACTCTTGCTGATGAGTAAAGCAGTTGGAAAGCTCTGATGGGGTCCTGGGAGGGGATCAAGCTCACCCAGGCACCTCCCACCCCATAATTGTCTTATTGGCCATTCATTACACCATTAGAGGGTCATTTTTTTGGTTAAATTTTTGACATTTGCTTTAAAAATCTGTTTGTAGACACGGGAGCCTTTGGGCTTCTCATACAGCAGAGACTATGTTGAATCATCATAATAGTTATAATAGATAACATTCATTGTCACTTACTATGCACCTGGAACAGTTCTAGCATATGTATTAATTTAATCCACACAACACCCCTTGAAGGAAGGCTCTATTATGCCTATTCTATAGGTAAGGAAACTAGAGCACATAGACATGAAGTAACTTGTATAAAGAAGAGGCTAAGGGTTCCCGCTCTGGCATCAGACCACCTAGGTTTGAATCCCAGCCCTAATAAACTAGGCACATGATCTTGGAAAAATCACATGCTTTCTCTAGGTCTGTTTCCTCATCTAAAAATGAAAATAATAATAGTACCTAATCCTCAGAGTTCTCGTGAAGTGTAAAGGGCTTAGGACAATGTCTGATGCAAGTTAACACTCACTGAATGTCAACTCTTTGATTATTATTACCGAATTCCCAAGCTCAGGAATGCCGACTTTCAGAGCTGGAGAAAACTGCAGAGGTGTCAAATGTCACCCCCTTGTGAAGCCTTCCTGGGGGAGTGGGTTGGAACCATCAGCCAGTGACGGCAGAGAGAGGGCTGTGTGCGAAGGCATGCGCCTCCACCACTGTGACTGCAGTCCGACCCTGCCCCACTGGGTCCCCACCGGGGCCAGCCCAGGGTCACTCACCTCCAACCCCACCTCAGCAGACAGGGAGCCAGACTTCACATGGCTGATGAAGATGCCGGGTTTCTGGATGGGGCCACTGGAAATGCTGTGGAGGATGGGAAATGTGGGTCCCCTGCAGCACCTGCTCATTCTCAAAGTCTTGTCCCCTCTGCCAGGGTATCCAGTGCTCAGGATACAGGTCACCTCTGAACTCAGTACCAAGGCCCACCACTGCCTAGCTCTTTAGTCTCTGTCTCACAGAGAACCTACTTGCCATCCCTGACCCAGAATATAGCTCCACTAGAGTCTTTGTCACCCTATCTTATAAATATTTATGTAGTTGCTGTCTATGTTAGGCTGTTATCTCCTAAAAAGGAGGGATTTTTTTTTTTTATCATTTATCCTTGGCGGAAAAGTGTTAAATAAGTGTGAATAAAAGGAAATAATGAGAATAACTTAAATAACAATAGCTAATATTTTCCAACTGCTTACTACCTGCCAGGCACTAAGCTTGGTACTTCACTTTCTCCGCAACAACCCTGTGATGTGGGTATTATTACCCCAATTTATAGAAGGAGAAACTGAGGCTCAGAATGGTTAAGTAGCTGGTCCAAGGTTCCAGAGCACGTTAAGTGGTAGTTCAGGGCTGGGACTGAGATCTGAGTGACCGTAGCACCCGCATGCTAAACAAGATCACCTTGAGTGGCCTAATGCCTGTTTGGAATTCCCTGGCTGCCTTTAAAGAAGCCAGCAAGGTAATAAGTGACAAGGGAACAGAGGTGACCAGCTGGAAGGTTCAAGGGCCCACTAAACAAACATAGTTCTGCTTCTGGGCCTCAGTTTCCTCATCTGTAAAATGGAACGTCTTAGAGTTGCCCCTCTGGATCTATGGAAGGGAAATCAGGCACCAAGAAGTGCCATCACCCATGGACAAATCGCACTACTGGTAGACAAGCATCTCCTCAGATGCAGCAGTGAGGAAGAGGAAGAGTGTTAAGGGCAAATGAGTGAGTGCCAGGGCGTGCCTGCCACCCACCTGCAGCCAAGGCCCCGGGAACCCACCAGGCTGATGAAGACCTTCTTCTCCCTGTTTTCCCGACTCCCGAGGGAGCCTAGGCTGCTCCGCCCGCCCTGGAGGAAAGATAGAAGTGGGATCACTGGGTGTCCACATGCATGCAAGTGGCCTCTTGAGCTCGTGAGACCTTCAGGGTGAGCACTGCTGAATTCACACAGGCAGATCGCCATTCTGTCCCCCTGGAGGCATGTGTCTGCACCAGCGGGCATGGCTGAGGGCCTGCCATATCACTGGGTGTCCACATGCATGCAAGTGGCCTCTTGAGCTCGTGAGACCTTCAGGGTGAGCGCTGCTGAATTCACACAGGCAGATCGCCATTCTGTCCCCCTGGAGGCATGTGTCTGCACCAGCGGGCATGGCTGAGGGCCTGCCATCCCACAGGGGCTTTCTGGATGTCCTGGGGACCCATTGGAAGCCCCTCAGGGCACATCCCTAGAGCAAGTCTTCCTTTCAGGACCAGCTGGCCCTCCTTGAAGACCACCCCACCCAAACCCCATCACAGGTGGTCCTGGCCCTTACCCCAGATTCTGACACAAACTGCTCCACATACTGCCATTTGAGGGGCTCGTCGGGAGAGCTGATGCGGAGGGGAAATAGAAGGTGGTTGTTAGGGAAAGATGTTTAGAGGACCAGGCCCTGAGTCCATATCTGCCACACTTGGAGCCTCCAGCCACTGCTGGCCCAGGAGCAGTGCTGGTCTTGGGGGAGCCTGACCCCAGGACCGACGACACTAGGACTCTGAGCCCACAGGGAAGAATCTGCCTGCAGAGGAGGGTCCTGCTCACCTCTTCACAGGGATCAGGCCAATGTCTGTGGGAGAAAGGCACCAGGGTTAGGACGGCTTCCCTGCCCTCCCTACCTTCCCCTGGGTACCCCTCCTGCCACCTCACCCCACCATCACTGAGCCCCACTCCCCTCTGGCCTCACTCACATCTCACTTCTTTTTTTTTTTTTTCAGAAATAACGTGTCCCCCTTTTGTCTCTAATTTGTTACTCACGTCTCACTTTGATGGACACAGTCTTCTTGGTTCGGATGAGGTTGATGACCTCCTCGTGGGTGCAGGAGGAGATGGAATATCCATTGATCCGGACAATCTCATCCCCTACCTTGGCCACAGAGAGGGAACAAGCACCACACTGAGGGAGCGTCAGGCACCTGGGCAGGCTCACCACAGTCAGCTCTCCAGTAAAGGGAAGGACATCTACGCTGTCCCCCAGAATACACCTTGATATGCGCCCTAGTACCTTATTACAACCAACCCACCCTCCACCAGCCTGAGGGATCCCAGGGCAGGTGGCACTTCCAAGTAGTCTACCTGCCCCATCTCACAGATGGGGAAACCAAGATGGAGGTGAGTGGCACAGCCAGTGGGTAGCAGAGCTGGGAGTAGAACTCAGGACTGTGTACCCTCACTCTGGTGCCCATTTTACCCTACTGGGGCACCATCAGGTTCTGGAATCCATGCAGCTCTTGCCTGGCATTTGCCCCACACCACCCCTGAGAAGCAGGCTACCCTGCCACTGTTAATCACTATGGCAATGTAATTGAGTCGGGATGGGGACCTTCCATGACTCCTGACCCAAGCTCACATCACCAACACTAACATATGATCTCTTTTTTTCCACTCTATGGAAACTTGATAAACATTTTTAACTTTGCCATGGCCCTGACCCCTGAATTCCTATTCTGGGAGCAAGCAAAGAACAATGAATGAGCACAAGGCTTTGGCATCAGATGTCCTGGGTTCATATCCCTGCTTTTATTCTTATTAGCTGTGTGACCTCGGGCAAGTCTCTTGAACTCTCTGAACCTCAGTTTTCCTCATCTGTAAAATGGGAAATACTGTGGTTGCTGTGAGAATTAAGTGAACTTGTGCATGTAAATCCTGCCAGTGCATGGCACACAGTAAGTGCTCAATAAATGGTTGCTACTGTTTTCATTAGTTAGGCCTAAACCCACAACACTCTTCTCAGATCCCTCCTCTAAGGAGTTAGGCAACTGCATATAGGAAATGGGGGCTCAGGGCCTGAGGGACCAGCCCTGGATGCAGACCCATAGTGTGATTGCCCCCTGCTGGACACTGCTCCTGGCTCCTCCAGGCACCTTGGCCCTGGGGATCAATTTTGAATTTCCTCATTTAATAACCACAGGACTGGAAGGATCATCAAACTTCAGCTGAAACTGAGGCCCAGGGAAGTAATGTTTCCTCCAAAGTCACACGGCCAATAGCTGCAAAACAGGGATTGGATCCTGGATGCCCTTCTCCAGTCTGAGGCCAGTGCAGGTCAGCTAGGGTTTAACTCAAACCACAGGTGTTGACCCCTTGGGGACTTGTGGGTACATGGGGGGACAGAAACTGTACTCCCTGTGGGGTCTGGGCACGTAGGGGCTGGGCAGGCACACAGCCTCTGAGGGGTTCTCTAGGCCAACTCCCATCCTCTACCACTCCCACAGAGTCACCTTCCCGCTATTGCCAGGAGCAATTCCCTCCCCCTCCTGGACATCAGATGGGGAAACTGAGGCTCAGAGAAGTGAAGTGACTTGCTCAAGGTCATCCAGCTAGTGAACAGTGTTGCTGAGATTTGAAGTGAGGTCTCCCTGACAGACCACAACCTTGTCTTTTGGGTGTCTGGAAGCAGAAAAGAAGGGCGCCTGGCCAAGCCTGGCTGCAATTCCCTGCATCCTGCCCTCTCTGGATCCTTGCCACCTCTGAGAACCCTCCAGTCCCATGGGAAAGGCAGGGATTACTCTGTCCATTTTACAGCTGGGACAACCAAGGCACAGAGAAACATTTTCCAGACCTAGAATATATAGCAAGTTGTATAGCATGGGCTGCACTGTGCAGGACAGAGGATGGAGGTTAACACAGGATGCTCTTGAAAAATATCTAAAGTATCTCCAGCAAGGGAACAAGAGCAGAGGGATGGACCCCCAGGACTAGGTCCTACTTGAGGGTCCAAACCCCCCACACGGGGCCCAGCCTCACAGGTCAAATCAGCATAGGGTCTTCAGCCCAGCCAGGCTGTATGTGAACCTTCCCCTTCCCTGCCTTCCAGAATCTTCTCCTAGCTTCCCCCAGGCATGAGACCTCCCCAGAAACATGAACCCCAGACAGGCCAGCGGATGCAGACATTTTCCTCAAGCTCCTCTGAGTGAAGTTCCCTGTCTTGTTCCTAAAGGGACCCCAGTCGAATGATTCCCACACAGCCCGTGGCTCAGGTTGCAGAATCAACTTTCCTCTCCCTTTCACTCCTGTGTGGAGTCCTGCAAAAGGCCCTTTGTGCAGCGACCACAATGATATGATGATCTGAGGGACAGCAGCACAAAGGAGAGACAAGCTGCTCAGCCTGAGAAAGGGTTGATAATTCATAAGCCTGAGAAACAGCCGGGAGGTAAAACTCTGAGCTTCATTACAATGTCCCAGTGCCCCCAATCATCGAGGCCCCCTTGAAAAATGCTTTTCCTAGGAGGAGCATTCACCCTGGAAAAAAGAGGGCCTCAGCTGACGCCAAAAGAGGAACTCATTATGTTTTACTCTGGCCGAGTTTCTGGGCTGGAAAATGTGCCGCAGAGGACAGGAATAATGAACAGGCTGAAATTTCAGATGCCACTGGCGAGCCGTGAGACAGGGATTTAGAACAAAGTGATGTCTGTCAGCTGCCTGTTTCCACCCCCCACTCCACCGTGTCTCATACCATTAGCCTCTGAGCCCCCTGAAGCCCCTGGCTTGGCAGCCCAGATTGGGATGCTGATAACAAACACGCTGGAAGCTCTGGGAGGTAGGAGGAGGGTCTCCTTTAACTGGACACACAAAAACACAGCTCTGGGCTCTGGCAGGAGTGGGACCTGGAGGTCTGCCCATCTCTGCTCAGACACTGAGGTGTGGGGACCCCAAGGGAGAGGCACACGGGGTGCTGAAGAGAGATCCCTGGGCTCAGCAGTCAGGAGACCCAGGTTCTAATCCTGGCTGTGCCACTTACTGGCCTCTGAGCTTCTATTAACTCTGTAGTGGGGATGATACATCCAACGCATTTCCAGACAACTTGTTGTGAGTATGTTACCTGGCACATTACAGGTGTTTACTAAATCTCCTTTTCTTTGCTTGTTTAACCAATACACAGCATCAGGCACTGTTACAAACAATTTCTAATATTAATTCATTTATTCCTTATAACAAACTGATGAGGTAGACAGTATTATCATCATCCCATTTTACAGATGAGGAAACTGAGGCATTTTGCCAAAGTCACACAGCTTAATGAGTGTCAAAGTCAAGATTTGAACCTGGGTAATTCAGCTTCAGAGTCTATGCTCTTAAGCATCACACTGCATTGGGCTTTATTCCCCCTGTGGTAAAAGGTGACATGTCCAAAGCTTCAGGGGCCCAGACAGACTACGTTCCTCCTTCAGGAGGTGGGGAGGTGGGGTGATGTGCTGCCACAGCAGCTGGAGGAGGCAGCAGCGAGCTTCCTTGCTTGACTCAAGTAAACAGGCAACTGCCTGCGGCCTAATTTCTATGATCTGCGAACACCGTCAGGATGTATCAGCCTCTTCCTCTCCCAAAGGCTCAGAAAAGCAGGTGGCCACATTGTGCCACACGGCTGAGTGGATGGTAAGGAGGGAGGCAGGAAGTCTGATGCCCTGGCCCCACGTCCCGCAGACGCTGCTCACTCACCTGCAGCCCGACGCTGTCTGCCTGACCGCCTTTGATGAGGTGGGAGATGAAGAGCCCACAGCCGAACTCGAGGCCCCCACGCACGCTGAGGCCGAGCCCTTCGGGGTGCAGACGGTCCAGACGCACCTCCTTCAGCTTCCTGCCCCAAAGGAGAGGTGGGTGACAGCCCCACCACACGTGAGGAACTCTACCCACCCCAGCCTGACCTCTCCCACCCCTGCCTCGCCTGGTGGCTCCCTCTGCACCTCGAGCGTCGGGGGGTCAGCTGGTCGTATTCCACCTGGTGCTTCAGTGGGATCAGGGGCCGAATGGCGTCAAATAGTGGCAGGCGGCTGGGCTCATTGATGACCAGCTTCAGGTCTCCCACTAGCACAGCCACATCCATGGTCCTGTGGAGATGTGAGGGATGCCTGGAGCCTCCCTGCTGACCGTTACCTCTGGGACCCAGGGATTTCCAGAGAAAGCAGTCTCCGTTTGGGTCCCCACCCACTGGGCCCAGGCCTAGGAATTGAGGAGAACTCTCCTGAAAAACCCAGAGCCCCTAACCCTGGGCCGGGTGCCTCAGAAGGCTTCATTCTCATATAAATATCACAAGGAAACCAGTGAGCTAGGGATTATTAACCCATTTTACAGATGAAATCAAGCCAGGGTTTCACACTCAGCTCTGCCTAGTTCCGATGTCTAGGATCTTTCCAGATAGGAACCCTCTGTGTGAGATGCTGACCACCTTAATCATACCCCTATCTTCCAGTCTGATCTGCTGCTAAGCCCTGTAAATTCTGCCCTCGTGTATCTCTCATATGCCTCCCGCTTCATGCTGTTCAGACATCTCCAGCTGCCTGCCGACCTGCTCACTCTCATCTAACCTTTTCTAAACGTGAGTCACGCCTCTTCTTGAAACCCTTTGTCCAAAGACAAAACCCATTCTCCTTGGCAGGCACAGAGCCCTCCATGGCCTATCTCCATGGAACTCCTCCAGCCTTATGGCTATGTATGGTCTCTGTGTACCCCAGGTCCTACTCCCCCTGATTACTTACCATTCCCCATTCACACCGTGGGCTTTCATGCCTCTGTACCTTTGCTGATGCTGATCCCTCAGCCTGGAGTGCTCTTCCCTGATAGTCCACCTGCCAAAATCCTTCAAAGCCCAGCTCAAGCCTTCCTGTCCTCCCCCAACCCCCACAGTTAGAAGTGAAAACTCCTTTCTTCACATTCCTACCGATGCACATAAATATGTACACATGTGAAGGCCTATGTGACAGTGACACACCCCTATTGCTATGCCACCTGTATCTGGAAGCAGCCCATGTCTTACCTGATGGTGGCTGTAGTGCAGGATAAATGCTTTCAGGAAGGATTTGGGCCATTCACTCAGATAGCACATCCTACCCACTGGCAGCATCCTGCCACCAAATTCTGTGATACCAACAACAGGGGAACTCCACCTTGCTCTGTCCTGGCCTAAGCTGGATTGGCCTTGAGTTCTGTCCACTAGTCAGCCTTCTGGCCACTCCTTCCCCCTCCCCAGGTCCTTTCACATCCCCTGTCCCCCGCAGGGGGAGAGTCAGGTTACATCACTTCAACTTTGCTGATGTCAATGGCTGGGGCTCTAAGGTCAGGTTCAGGAGCTATTTCATTAGCATCTCAATCCCAGGGGAGCTGGTGGGCCAGGAGCTCTGAATTCTACTCCCTGGGATAGCTCAGTGTGAATCTCTATGCACCATGTCCTTGGCTCTCTCTTCAGCCCCAAACTGGGCAACAGGGCAAGGTGGAAGCCTGAGGGATCAGAGGGTCCCTCCCTCCTCTAGGCTCTAGTCCTCAGCCCTTCATGGTGAGAAGCTGCTGCTGGAAGCTGCAAGATTCCACCTGATTGGTTCTCAGAGGAGGGCCAGAGCAGCCTTATTTTTCTGTGGGTATCTCAAGGGTTCTGAAAGACCAGGAGCAGTCTGTCTTTCCTAAGACAGGGAAGACATGCTGGGCTTAGCCCTTGGGATTTCTGAGCCTGAGCAGGGAGTATAGAATGCAGATTTCTGGTTTCCCTCTGGCAGACCCCCTTCCCTCTAAAATCAGGCTGAGCATTTCATTGAAGATGAGAACAACCTAGTAGGCTTGCCCTCCACTGACCACAGCTTGGGCTTCAGGTGCTACAGAAGTTCACCCCACCGGCTCCAGTAAGAGCATCCCCGCTTTCTCCCTACCTCAAGGGGCTCCCAGCCAGCTAGAAGATAGGGAATGGAAGCATCTGCTTGATGGATGGTACTATATCTTAGGATGGTAGACTGGGCTCTTGCATACACCACACAAAGGAGTACCTCCAAAAGCCCATCTCTGTAAAGACACAGCCTAGACTCTCTACACACTCTACCTGGGCTGCCCACATTGGGCTATGATGGAGGAGTCCGAGCAGAGAAATCTATTGAATGCCCCAAGGACCGGAGACTAGAAATATCTTTATAAATTAGATCATGTAATCTGCTTGCTTAATAGTTTCTCATTGCACTTAAAACAAAATCCAGACTCCTCACCTTATTAAAGCTCAACCAGCTCTCCTACCACTCTTCCTGGCTACACGGGCCTCCTTTTGGTTCCTCCCACAGGCCACACTCTCTCCAGCCTCAGGGCCTTGGGGTAACGCTGTTCCCTCTGCCTGGATTGTTTACCCCCTTCCCTGCATGGCTGGCCTCCTTCCCCAGAGAGGTGTTCCGTGCCCACTCACAGAGAGAGAACCCACTCCCACCCCCCAGAGATGTTTCAATTCTGTCATCACCTCAATTACAATTTGTAATTTAAGGTTTGCTTTTTTTGTGAATTGTTTTGTCTGTCTACTTCACTAGATGGAAAACCCCACAAGGCGAAGGATGAGGTTTGTTTTGTTCTAAATTCCTTGTGCGTAACACATAGTAAGTGCTCAATAAATAAATATTGAGTGAATTTGTCCCCCTGCCCCCTGGTATGCCTACACAATTCAGGTAGGAGGAAGGGAATCATGGGACAGAAGGGGAAGGGAAATACTTGCAGAGTCCCCGTGAGCTCCCATGCAGTGGCACCAGGAGCTTTTCATGGGCTTTAGTCCATGTTTTATCACACCAGCCCGATGAGGTTGATATTTTTGTCACACCATTTTGCAGATGAGAAAACTGAGAATCAGAGAGGTTAAGTCAACTCACCCAAGGCCCCACAGCTAAAAAGCAGAGCTAAGATCTGAACCAAGGTTTGACTACAAAGCCTATGCTCCTTCTGCTGCACCATGTCCATTTACTATGACTGAGGCCTTCCAAGGGAAAATGACTCCTAAGGTTCCTTTAGGCCAAAGTTTCAAACCCTTCGCTTTCAAGAAATTCTTCCTTATCTCTAATCCCCATCTTGCTTTTGGCTTGGTTCACAATGAGTAAGAAAACAGAATATTGTTTGAATGACTCATTAGGGAGCATAAAAATCCCATCTGATTTAATTGGAGAGAGGATCCCTGACCTCTCTCCAGCCTCAGGGCCTTGGGGTATGCCATTCCCTCTGCCTCTGTCCCTTTGCCCTAGAATTAGGCTCTAGCCTTTGGCGATGACACAAGAAAAAGGATGAGAGAGGGAATCTCTCATTGCCTGAGGCGTTAGGACTGAAGTTCTCTGCCAGCCCTCTTGGCAGAAATGCATTCAGCTGCATCATTAAGTTTCAGTAGTGAGGGGCTGTCCTAGGTAGACATTGTTTATTATGCACTAAGTAGAAATAGAAGACTCAGGGAATTTCCAACTTTGGGGTCTAGGATTCTGTTTTTCTTCCTTCCCTGGGCCAAGCACATATTACTTGAGATGGTCTTTGTAGAAAAGAGCCTGCTACCTACTCGGGGTCCCTGGATTCTGGCCCCTGTGGGCAGCCCTCCAGAGGCCCCCATCCAGAAATCACACCCTAGCAGTTTCCTTCTGAGGCAGCTCACAGAGTTCAGCTCTTCAGCCTCATGTCCACACACTCTCACCGGTTAGGTCACTCAAACCCTAGCTTCGGTCTTCCCTTGCCTGCCTGCTTCTCCAGGGTCTTCTCCACCACATCCCAAGTGGGACTCAGGCTACAGCTGAACAGACCCTTCCCCCAACACACAGAAACCCCTATCCTCACTCAGAAAGTCCCATCTAACTCCGTATCCAACTCATCCATTAAAAAATTTCTCTATATACCGTAATATCTACGAAAATAGATCTGGTTTATGTGACTGCTCTTTAAATATGAATCTAAGTGAAAAATAATTTTTTAAAAAAATTGAAAAATGGTTTCTGCACAGGAGATCCTACACATGGAGGGATCATTCCCAGCTGGAAATGTCTCTGCAGAGAATCAGAGGTAACAGCACTGCTTTAGTCTCTGACCACACCCAAGTGAAAACATACGCTCACACCTCACTTTTCGGGCTTTAATAGGCACCGAGAAAGAAAACTGAGAAAGTTGGAAGTTACTCTGGAGGCCTGAATGTGCAGTAACATCACCACCATAACTCAAATTTCACTTTTTATATATTTAAAAAGTTATATAGTACCCTCTCCTGGAATTCCACCTAGCACCAGTCCAAGGAGCAGCTTCAGGGAGCCTCTGACCAGCCTCTGGGATCCCCTCTCTAGGGCACTCTGTACCGTTCTCCCAGCAACTTGTGCTCAGTGCATGTAAAGCACCCTGTGCCTGGTGGGTCTCCCACACTCATTTCTTCCCTGCCATCCGCCCATGTGCTTTGTTTCCCTGCTCCCAGCACCTTGCAGTGCACATGGGCATGCAGCGCTCAGGGCTGTCTGTTGAATGAGGAATGAACTCCACTTGCTCTAGTCTAGAGCCTTCCTTCTACCCTGTTGGCCCAGTGCTAGGTCAAGTCCCATGGCTCCTCAGCACCCATCTGCTGCAGCTTCCTGCATCTGTCTCCTCTTAGTTCATGTCCAGCTTGTCACAGAAGACCAGTCTGCAGACCTGAGCAAAATGGACTCCCCTCCCTCCTCCCATGTGAGCTCGCCTTCATCTAAGGTGAGGTCCAAGACTCTTCTAGAGTCTTTCCCAATCACGCCAGCACAGAGCCTCCTCACCTGCCTCCCAGACGCTGCTTACTGATTGTCTCCAGTGACTGAGGAAATTTACAGATGAGAAACTAGAGGCTAAGAGAAGTGGCAGAGCTGAGACTTCAACCTAAGCCTGCTGGCTCTAAAACCTCTGCTTTTTTTCAAACCACTACATGGTATCCATTTACCATTTATCACTTTTTTGTATGCATTGTCCAATATACATTTATCGAGTAACTACTGTGTGTAAGACACCAATTTTCTTTCTCCAGCTAGGTTTAGAAAGCATTTCCTTTTCTTGGATTTCTCTTGATGCTAGGCACAGAAACCCCAAGGAGTTTCTACAAGTAAGTGTTGGGGGG